TTAGTATTTTACATGGCTTCATAATGTAGCTGTTTTTTTTTTTTTTTATATAAATATAATTTTCTTGTATTTTTCAATTCATATGCTTTTTATGATTATCTACTGTTGTACTGATAAATATCTCCCGGAGGGTAAACTATATCTTCGCTTCAAAATCCTTTGTTTTCTACAACTGATGTTGGTTGGTCATTAATTACGATGAAGTTTAGCAACTTCTCAGTAAACATTCGAGCTCCTTGGTTTCAGCGGTGTCTTCTTCTCGTTCAGTCCGGAGACGGCAGTCTGATTTCTGTCAGCCGTGCTCAGTCTGCCCCTCCTCCGACACGGACAGACCGAGCACGGCTGACCAAAATCAGACTGCCGTCTCCGGACTGAATGAAAATAACAGACCGCTGAAACCAAGGAGCTCGAATGTCCATCGTAAAACTAACTTTACCGCGGTTTAATGTGGTGCTATGGCTCTGCAGACATTGCACGTTTCTGTCTTGTTTTGTGGTGTTTAGTGTAAAGTACCTCCACACAGCGGACATGTTTAGATGGAAAGTTTGTTAGCTGTTAGCCACGGTGCTGCTGCACGTTGTAGCTGCTGCAAACTATGAACTGGATTTCCTGAATGTGAGGCGGGTCTTGTTACTCTGGGCTCATGAGACACGCCTCCGTTCAGGAAATCCATTCGATAGTTTGAAGCCAACGTGGAGCACAGCTGGCAGGGAATCGCATGTGGAGACGTTTTACTTGGAGACAGACGTGCATCATGGATCGGAAATCTCTGCAGGTTGGATCGGAAAAATCCGATACGTAAATTATGCTGATATCAGAGCCCGATACTGGATCGGCCCCATCCCTACTATCTTACAGCCTCTTTGTGTCACCACAACAAAACAAGTCTCCTTGGATTGATGAAGTCCTTTGGATGAAGGACAAAACGTCTCAACAAAAAAAGAAACCGTCCAGATGAAATGACAGAACTTTGGGGCAGTTGACTTGGGACCGTAAAGTTGCAGGTTTGATTCCTCGCCATATGTCTTGGTGTTCTTGAGCAAGACACCTACTCCCTGATTGCTCCCTTGTCGCTTGTTACTCCACTTGGTTGTATCATGTGTGAGTGGAAAATGCAGAGCTCAAAGTTCATCATTTGAACACGCAATGAATATGAACATGTCACTTTACAATATCAATTATTTATTTAATTAAGCCCTGTATAAATGCTTATATGAGTTTAAATAAAGGTTTGCTTAATTTGCCCTAATGGACAGTTCTCTACAGAAATATAGTAAACAGAACTGATATTAACTTGTTTTTTTTGGGGGGGGGGCAGTCTCACACAAATGCATTTTAATCACAAGTGCAGCATCGTTTAATGGGAATAAACTTCCCAGTGTTGTTTAATTCCAAGGAGCAAAGTTACAACAAAGTAATATTTAACCGACCATACGTTTCTATACTTGTTGTGCTGCGTTTAGTTATTTACTTTGTACAAATGTCACAAAGACAGCGCAGTTAAAGGAAGCTAAGAGAAAAGTAAAGACTGAATTTACACCAGTAGATGTTAATTTGTTCGTGTAACGGGTAACCCTTTGAGGAACGGCCCGTTTTCACAGTTTCTAATTTTCTTCAGGTACGAGTCACCCGGGTGCCGGGCATGAAAACTTCCATCAATGAGTACAATGTACAGTCAGAGATTCTGAACACAGGGATGGCAGTCAGCAACCCAGAACATCTGGACCAGCTGAGAGCACTGTGTGCAGCTGTGGTTCACGCTACAAAAGATGCAAGGTACGCATGAAACAAGCAATGTCTCTAAACTGATGAGTCACTTTCTCCAAAACCACACTTGAGCAGAATGTGTTTATATTTACAGCGTGGAGAAGGATTCATCATCTTTGGAAGTCGGGACCAAAACAGAGGACACGGTCAGAGCTGCTGAGGATGCTCTGACGTCCACACCCAACTCTCCTGTCAGTCTGAAATCTTCAACAAATCATTCCACCGTTGAGATGCCCCCACTCTCAGTCTGTGATCAAAATTTGAAGGTACACATACAGACCAGCAGCCAGAGAGACCTGGACACTGCAGAGCTGACGCAGAGGTTTGTATTTATCCATCCATCATCTGCGTTCAGGTCAGTGAGGTCGTTTCGTGACAGTTTCTGCCTAGAAATTGAAGTGAAATCCAATGATACAAAAGTTTCTTCTGGAGCCAGCTTCTAATGTTGAACTTCGTTTGCAAAAGTCATGGAGTTATTTATGTGACGTTTCCAACTAAAGGAGCTAAAACACAAGCACAGGTTTTCATATTGC